GGGAGAGGGAGGGAGGGAGGGAGAGAGAGAGAGAGAGAGGGAAGGAGGGACGGAGGGAGGCTTAGGCTCCCCAGAAAGGCAGGGAAAATAAATCCAATGTGCCCTGTGACTAGTATTACTAAAACTGTTCAATGCCTTTGATGGCTATGGGTTAGTTTCACTACCCCATTCTTATGAAGAAGGTCCATCTGGACACAGTGAGTACACTTTTTTTAAAAAAATACGTATCTATCTTTATTGATTTCAGAGAGAGGAAGGGAGAGGGAAAGAGAGAGAAAAACATCAATGATGAGAAAGTCATTGATCTGCTGCCTCCTGCATGCCCCCTCCTGGGGGTCGAGCCCACAACCTGGGCATGTGCCCTGACTGGGAACTGAACCTCAACCTCCCCGATCCTAGGTCGATGCTCAACCGCTGAGCCATGCCGGCAGGGCTGATTCCACTTTTTAGATGGATACCTCAACTTTTGACTATTTTACTGTACTTGGCGAAATAAATTTGCTCTTATTATGTATTTATTCTTCACAATTTGTTTTGTATATAAGATAAACATGCTCGGCTCTGTAAGGAACATGGCAGCTGGCGAAGCAGCCCCGTCGTGTGAGGTGAGGCCAGAGCCTGAGGAGTGCTGTGAAGGGAAAGAAGGGAACTCACAGAAGATAAAAGAGGAACAGCTCTGAGTGGGTCTGTCAGAGGTATGAGAATACAGGGGCAAGAGGACGGCTCAGATGGGCATATGCCAATTTCAAATGAGAGGGAAACTACTTTAAAGGAATTAAGTTAATCAGGCAGTTCTTTAAAAAAATTTTCAGTATGTACAGTTAAAACTAAAGGAAACATTTTCATCAAACCTCTTAACTCCCTGAGACATTTTTTGTATAACATGCATCAGTATGTGACAACCACTTATTCACATCTCTGTTGTTTCTACTCAGGGAAAATTCATTGAGAAAGAGGCCTCATTTTATTCCTTTCTATGATTTTACCACTTACTGTACTCCTAATATAGAATAGCTATTCCCTAAATGTCTTATGAATGAATAAATGAATTATATGACTAACTATCACTTATAGAGCATCTGCTACATGTCACATATGATGCCAGCATATACATTAATAATGCAACGTATGGTCAGTGAGGACATAGTGGAGTAAATTTTGGGCTAAAGGCTGATTTTAAGCCATTATTAATAACCTCCAACTTAATTAAGCTAATAAAAAAATACCAAAGTAAAAGACTACATACTTTGACTAGTTGTTAAAGGTGAATAAAGTCTGAAAGGGGCCAAGAGGAAAGTTAAAAAGAAAATCATACTTTGGTAAACTCTGATTAGAGAAGATTACAATAAAAATCAGCATCTATACCAGGTTGTTACTCAACCATTTTCACTAAGATGAGAGAAGAAAACAGTGACTATTGGAGTAGTGACACTAAATTGAGATGGGGATGGGAAGGGTGTACAGTATCAATGACTGAATGTCATGGACTTAAGAACTACGGTTTTAAAAAGATTAGTGATGTGAACATAGTTATTAGATAATAGTTTTGATGCGTATTATTTGACATTACTTTTATATACAGTAAGTGGCTCCTAGAGTATAAAATGCTTATTTTTTGTTTATATGTGTTTATTTTCATTTATGTCACATTTGTCAGCTCATTTCATCTGAATTCATAAGTAGCTACACTATAACTACAATCACCAAGTGGCAGTAAACAAAGCTGGTAAGCTAATACTCACTGTTAGGACCCCAGATGTCTTGTTAGACATTAGTATAAAAATCCCAAGCAAGATGCAACATAGAATGAAGGACTATAATAGTAATTAAACAATGAGCAACGCTTAGAACCAAGCACAGTATCTAATACATAGTAAGTGATCAGTAACCTCCTCTTAAATGAATAAAAAATAGGATGTACTCAAAAGCATATGAGAGTCTAAGGCCCTCTGTCAAGTTGGTATCATGCAGCAAAACAGTCACAGAAATGGAAATATACAACTAAAAATGAATAGAAAAGACCTCACCTAGGAAGGCTGTCACACAGCTTGTGCTCTTCGCAGTGTTCATTTCGAGGACAAAGTCAGCATGTGTGCTGTAGCCAAGTAGTTTGGCTACTTTGGCCCGCAGTGGGAGTAGCTGCTGTAGAATTTTGGTGTTTTCCTAGTAGTAAATACAACAACAAAAACAAACTTTAATAATTAACTGGATCCAAAAAGCACTAAATGAGTTAGTTATTACATTTATGTTTAGGTTGTCAAAACTATCAAATAGTTTTAGAACATCCCAACTTCTAATAAATTATTTCATTTCAGTGTTACAGACTTTTTAAAAAATTCATGATCCAACTGTATTTCTGAAATAACGGACTTTTTAAACCTCAGGAGATAGTTATGAGGTCTTCATAAAATTGTAGGTACTGCAAACTTAGAGTGAAAATGTATTCTTTTTTTTTTTTTAATATATCTTCATTGATTCCAGAGAGAGGAAGGGAGAGGGAGAGAGAGACAGAAACATCAATGATGAGAGAGTCATTGATCGGTTGCCTCCTGCCCGCCCCCGACTGGGGATCGAGCCCGCAACCCGGGCATGTGCCCTGACCGGGAATCGAACCCCGATTGCCTGGATCCTAGGTCGATGCTCAACCGCTGAGCCACGCCCGGCCAGGCTGAAAATGTATCTTTAAGGACTATAGTGAATCCACATTTAGTCTCATTGACAGGACTGCACCAAATATTGGTACCTAAGTTGTTTTTTCATTGTGGTAGCATACACGTATCACAAAATTTGCCACTTTAACTTCATACCCTTTAGTATGGCTGTTATTAAAAACACACAAAAACAGCCATGGCTGGTTTGCTAAGTGGTTAGAGTCTGCCTGCAGACCGAAGGGTCTCGGGTTCGATTCCTGGTCAAGGGCATGTACCTCGGTTGCAGGTTAGATCCCCAGCCCAGATCAGGGCTCAGGTGGGAGGCAACCAATCGATGTGTCTCACTCACTCTCACATTGCTGTTTCTCTCTCTCTTCTCCTCCCTTCCACTCTCTCTAAGAATGAATGGAAAAAATATTCTTGGGTGAAGACAAAAACTAAACAAACAAAACAATGACAACAAAAATGAAAACAGAAAATAAGCGCTGATAAGGATGTGAAGAATTTGGAATCTTTGTGCATCACTGACAGGAATGTAAAATGATGCAGCTGCTGTGGAAAACAGTTACTGGGATTCCTTAAAAAAATAATTTTTTTTTGAAACAGAATTATCCTATGATCCAGCAATTCAACTTCTGCATACAGATCCCAAAAAAGTAGAAGGACTCAAACAGGTATTTTTACAACCATGTTCACTGCAGCCTTATGCGAATGCCAGCCAAGTGGAGGAAGCAACGCAAATGTCCGTCAATGGATAAATGGATAAAGCAAATGTGGTGCACACATACAATAAAATATTACTAAGTCTTAAAAAAGGAAGAGCTTCTGCTACATGCTAAAACATGGAGAAGCCCTGATGATATATGGCGGTGATGCTTGCACAACATGAATATGCTTAATGCCACAGAACTCTACACTATTTTTCAGGGATTTTTCTCAAATTATTACAAACACTTTCTATATCATATTAAAAATACAAATAATAATACTATCTTATCTGCAGACTTTTACATCTTCCCCACCTGAAGTGCAGTACTTATTAAAGACTAACTCCCCATTCCCCAGCCTCCAGTCCCTGGCACTCACCACCCTGCTTTCTTTCCTATGAATCTGACTTCCATAGGAATCTCATGTAAGTGGAATCATACAGTATTTGTCCTTTTGCGCCTGGCTTATTTCATTTAGCATAATGTTTCTTAAACAATAAGAGAAAAAGTAAATAAATGTTGAGGTCAAAGAAAAACTACTCCCGAAGATTAAATCAGCAAATTTTTTATAGACATGTTTCTAGGAAGATCACACATCAAGGTCAGACTGTCTTGGTTCTACCGTTTACTAGCTGTCTGACCACTGGCAAGTCCTTTAACCTCTCTAAGCCTCAGTTTTCTTATCTGTAAGATACAGACAATGATAGTGGCTAAGTCACAGGGCAAAAATGAAGATTCAAATGAAAATATATTTAAAGTACATAGAAAAGTGCCTGGCACAAGAGCAAACACTATATAGTTATGCTATAATTACTATTATTTTAAAATTAGAATGGAAACATGGATAAGAGGAACATATAGTATAATTCTCCAAGTTCTGAAACTAACTGGTTTGAGCTTTGCTTTCACTTTTTTAGTTTCCCTGGACCTTCTCCCTAGACTGCCCGTTTTCTCCCGGTATCTATTTCCCCCTTCCTCCTAGTACTAGAGTTCTCTGAGTTTTTGCCGGACACATGGCCACCTGACTACCTTTCCCAGACTTCCTTAAAGCTAGCTGTGGGACAGTGGAATCTGAATGAGGTGATGAGTGAAGTTTCTGGGGCATTTCTTTATAGATGCTCGCCTTGCTCGCTGTGAACTAAAGATAACAACAGTGACCCTGGAAGCCACATAGAAAGGATGGCAGAGCTGTCCTCCAGCTCTGGACCACTCACCTCTGTACTGTTAGTTGCAACAGAAATCAATCCTTTTTTTAAAAAAAAAAATTTGTGGTCAAACATATAACATAAAATATGCCATTTTAACCATTTTTAAGTGTACGATTCAGTGGCACTAATTACATTCAAACTGTTGTCCAACCATTACCACTATCTGTTTCCAAAACTTTTCCAACACCCCACACAGAAACTTGGTAAGCATTAAGCAATAACTCCCTAGTTTCCCCAGTCCCTGGTAACCATTAATGTTTTCTAAAGAAAAATAACTATTTACTTGAGTCTCTGCTTTTGGTTGACTTTTATAAAGTTGCTTAAGCTATACCCTAATACCTACAGGACTCATATTAGGAATGGGGTGCTGAAGTAACAAGAATGCAACATGTACAGCAGTGGAAAGTGAGGACAAGACACTGCAGGCTGGGAAGCTGGTAATCCTCCTTATACCAGGGGTCCTGTCTGTTAAAACTGTTGCTTGCTGTAACTTGGAGGGCAGGCCAGTTACAGTCTTACAGCTGCAGGGGAACTGTTTGGGAAAACTAATAACGTTGTTGTGTGTTTGTTGGTATTTATTGCTTTTACAAAAATTACATGACAAAGATGTGCTTACGTGAGAGCTGGCCAGTTTGCAAAGACAGAAGGAAGAGAGTTTTGCTAAGCGAGGTTCTGCTTGTGGCCCACAATCTGGGGCTTTGGGTGGCTGGAAAAGCCAGTCCCCCTGTATCCTAACGTCAGGAACAAAGACTATCACTCAGAGTTACTGAGCTATGGAGATCTGTTTGAGAAAGCTGTCTTCCTCCTCAAGTCTACGGTTTCAACCAGCCCTGAAGCAGGCACCATAATATTAGAAAAGATTTGGTAAGTTTAAGACTATGACCAAAAATGATACTTGGGCATAGTTACTTTAACATGAATCTGATTGGAAGCAGACAGACAGAAAACCTACTAGGTTTTTGACTGGATTTTATTACCAAAGATATCATAAGCCTGGCCTATAAAAGCTTGTGATTATTTTATTCCTAAAGCAACCCCAGGCTTCAAGCTGGCATCAGCAGGAACCTATGCTTGCAGCCACTCAGAATATGGTCATGAAAGGTAATGGACAAGAAAGAATTCCCTGCAGACAAAACCAGGGGCCACAGATACAGCTGTTACAGGAATCCCTGCCTGAAAGGAGACCCAGATAAGTCCAATGGGCTATCCCAGGAACTTCCCAGACACAGAATCCCTACAATTCCTGCCAAGCTGTTTCTGAATGTTGGCAGGCCTGCTATGTTTCCCCTTCTCTTCTTTTCCAAATGGGGGTTTTTATCGCGGTTTTCCTGTTCCTGTTCTGCCACTGGGGGTGTGATGGGGGTGAGGGGCCAGACAACTTGTCTTCCCTTTCACAGGTCGCCGGGTCAGAGAAGCTACAACTGTTCTTTGAGCGCAAGGCAGTAACTGGTTGGGATTTGACACACGGTGAATGGGGATGAGAGGTACTATGGTTACTTGGACCGACTGTAGTGCAGCTGCCTAGCTGACTCTTAAAATCCATTTCTAGTTCTTCCTTTTTTCCCTTTTAGTAATAGAATCCTCTCAGCTGAGCAAATGGCTATCAATTGGAGACTGTACTTCCTAGCGTCCCTTGCAGCTTGATATAGCTATATAATGGAATTTGTGTCAATGCAATGTGCACACAGCTGATGTATGTCATTTCCAGGTCCTCTTCTTAAAGATCCTTGCTCTGTACTTCCCAACAGAGTGGGACAATTGAAATGCCCTTGGAAGTCACTTGCTGAGGGGGGAGAGAAAGATGCCCCACCAGCCCTGGACTATCGACTTGGGAGAATACAACTTTTAGTTTATTTAATCTATTCTATTTTTTTTTTTTTAGAATAGCTTAACCTGGGATGGCAGGTTGTCAATGGGCAAGGGAAAAGCTAAGTATTCTGAGGAATTAGGAGGCATAATGCTCATACAAATAGGACTATTTGTCTTTAAGATGACTTCAATCCTGGTTAACAAAGCAAACACTTTTCTTAAGGTCTTCCATAAAAACAAACAAACAAACAAACAAACAAAGACAAACATTTATGGATACCTCTTTGCACCTCGTATTAAAAGCCATTTCCATCTTCCTTCTGGTGTCTGGGATACAACACTTCTTCATGACAGGAAAATAGTGCGGATATTTTAAGGTAATTTTATACTTGCCATCATCTGTCTTTTCTAAACTATCAATGAAATCATCAGGAAGAGCACCTGCAAAAAATTCTCTCATACATCAAGCTTTCCACTCATTATTGGTTCATTTAGAATTGGCATGGTGCCATTAAGAACTCGAGGAATTTTGTGGAGTAATTAAAATTCAAGTAAAATAATGACAATTCGTATAATATCATGGGGGTGGTGGTTCAAGAACAGGTGTCTCAGGAGATGTTAATTCAAAATATGAACAGGCTTCCATGCACTTGTGCAGATGGTGTGTAACGGAGAACAGGAGAGTTAAGCCAAGCAAGACCCAGAACAGAAGGAGAGACTAGTTTAAGTTACAGTGCGGGAGACATTCTGAGGCAAAAAATTTCTCAAGGCACTGAAGGCTGTTAAACAACAGCATAATTTAACAAGAGAGATTACGAAATCTTCTCAGGACTGTTTCTAGAAACAGTATACACTCTTATTAGCCTATAATCTAAAAATGGTCCGGTTGTCTCTTCTGTAGAAGGCATGGTGGGTTCTTTAGAAGGGACTGGATGATATTTTTAAAGAATTCTTTTAACTCTGATTTGGCAAACTGTGAGGTGACATTATCTGCCTGAATTACATGATTTCATCTAGAAAAATAAAATTTTACCAAGTTCAGCCTTGGAAAATACAAGGAAGGTATCATCCTCATTGAGGTTTTTGTTAAAGTCAATGCATAGCTCACTCATTCTTTTCTTCATAGCTTTGATTTCCTGAAACAAACATATAAGTATAAGATATTAACAATAAAATGAATCTTTTATTGTTATCGCCATCAGTCAAATAAGTTTCACTTTTATATGAAGGTTGACTTCTATACCTAACCCTCAGGAGGTCCTTTTTCAGAGATGTGCCTGACTAAATAGTTTTCTGTGCTCTTCTATGTTGTGTCCATGAGCATCTGTATGCAGCCTGAACAAAATGGCAATCCTGGTGATGTGTTAGCAATTTTCGTAGATTTGCAAGAACTAAGTAAATTTAGGAGGTACAGTCAAGCAGAATCTAGCACATAGTACACACACAATTGCTGAGTGAATGAAGCTGTTAGCTTGTTAATAATCATTGTATTTTGAATATTTTCTATTTCAAAAATCTGGTTTCATAAATCAGAACCTGGTGTTGAAGTAAGCTAAGAGATAAGAACTGAATAATTAATTTATGGTTGCTCTGGAAAAAAAAGTTATGTCTCAGTTTTACAGAGCATTTGCAAACAAATGAGCCCTAATATTTGTCTAAAAAGTATTAGTTGGGAGATCAAAGGAAGCAATACGAAAGGAACCAAAAGAAAAAAACATGAAATAATTTTATTAATCTCTCCCACTTTTCTGAAAATGCTAGATAACTAAATTTACATAAACCACACTGGCTCTCAATGTATGGCCCTGACCAGAGGCATCAGCATCACCTGGGAATCTGTTAGGAACGCAAACCCTTTTAACAAGCCCTCCAGGTAATTCTGATGAACACTAAATTTGACACATACAGTGTCATATTCTGACATTCGGGTGCTCTCCCCAAGTTCCCTTCGACATCCTCCATACTCTATCTACAACAGTCATGTAGTCTGAGTGGGACCTGATTGTATCTGAAGGCCCAGGGGTGTGGCCTCTGCACCAGTTAGGTAATCCCGTCTTCACTTGCAGTAGTGGCTGGTTCAGGTAACCTAGGCCTGGCCTTCGCCCAACAAAAGGGGGATTCCGGATCGGGCACATGATCCAATCTGAGCATTAAGACATGAAGGGAGGCTTCTTTATGTCCTTCTAGATGGTGGGGTTTTTAGATTTGCAGCTGTTTTAGAAATAAAAAGAGCCACCTTTGGATGGCACTAACCACGAGGAAGACAGAGTAGAAGAACAGAAAAATCATGTGGCCAATGATATCACTGAGTATCTACACCACACTAACCCATGAAGCCTGACTACCTCTCGACCTTGCAGCTACACAAACAAGTAAATCTCTCCTATTGTTTAAATTGTTCCAACAGGGTGCTGTTAGCTGCAACCAAACACATTTTAACCAACAGTGTTCATGCCCCCACAGAACTGATGCCTGACCAGGAGGGCAGGCAGAGAAGCGAGGTCAATCCCATTTCTCCTGTAAGTAGGATGAAGATCGTACAAGGTGATCAAGAATTTGGGTGGGGGGAAGGTGCCTGTATCTCAGCGGTGCCTTCAGGTATATCTACCATTCTGACATCACTTGGTCTGGATTTCTTTCAAACTTGTTTCTAGTTCTACTGCCTAGAAGAATCACCTGGAAATAAATTATGGGGTATTCTTCCCTTTCCAAAGAAGGAGCTAATTCTACAACCGAGCTTATTTATGAAACTGGAAGATTTGCCTGGCATTAGACAAAAGAAAAAGTTTAAGAAGCACTTTTCAGCAGCTCATCTGTCCACCTTTAAGGGGCATATAGTAATCGCAGGGTATCCCATTACTGGTTTTAAAACTCTCCATCATAAGGATTTTATTACCAGTGCCCTCTCTCTGTAAGACCAAGGGAATGAAAATATAAATCAACTATTAAGGCCTGGAACTAGGTATTAGGGAATGTACATTAGAGCAGAGAGAATAAGCCCAGCACACATGAAACAAATAAAACCTGGACGGGGGTAAAGGAAAACTAAGCTATCAGCTGTTATGTCAGTCACCATGATGTGGACAGGAGTTGTGGAATTTAAAACCACGGACTATCAAATACATTGGAAATGGATTTCTATCATGTATTATTTCCCATATTAAAAACATGTGTTTCCCTGTTTTTTTTTTTGTTGCATTTTGCTTTATTTACTTTTTTTTCAACTAAGAAAAGAAAACATAAACTCACATTTTGTACTTGTTCTGGAAGATGGAGCCCATTTCTTTTCCCCATTTTAACTGACTTTTCCAAGTATCGTCTGGCTTCAGGCTTTATCTTCCCCAGATCACAGGTTTCCTGAAATTAAAGAGTGTGACAACCATTCTGTTACAGCAGCGTCTGTGTAAAATATAAACTAGGAGGCCAGAGCAAATGTATTCATCATCTCTGCTGGGCTATGAAGTACATAGGTGATTTGAGGCAGGCTCTTCTGAAGACGTAATTTCTTTTACGCTTCAGTGAGTTCCTGCTCATTTATAACAGAAAAATTAAATAAATAAAAAGCTAACCAGAATTGCCTCGCCTTGCCTGAGTCAAGACTGCCTGTACCCTTCCAAAGTGTGGTAACAGAAACATTTGCATGATCTCTTTCTCAGCATTCTCTATGACCCAGTGGTCTTTCTCACAAAACATACTCCTTATCAAGGATCATATGGATTTAATTTTCTATCATTTGCTAACCTGGTTCCACTTGAGAGGCAGGCATAAAAATAAAGGGCAAATTCTACACAAATGGAGAGTGGGACCCTTTGGCCAACATACCAAAAAAGGATAGCTGGATAACACCTCGGCAAAAGGCTTCCAACACTTTAAAATGCCTTACTGCCATTTGGCAAGAGAGATCAGGGGACTGGGCAAGCTGCGCCTGAACAAGTATCTGGGGCAAGGAGTCAGCACAGCACAGACGGGGGGGGACGCTGGACAGTGTATGTCAACCTGCCTGCAGCAGCGCGAACAGCACTCATTCAGGAGGATGGTCCTGGAGGAAAATGGAAAATTCTCCTGGCCGTGGCAAGGTACACACACACCAGATGTTTTTCAAAACAGGGGGCAAAATATACATGGCACATCTGGAAGGCGGGGCAGTTTGCGGTCCCTGGGAGGAAATGGACTCCAGACAGAGGAGCAATAGATTCCGTTTGGTTGAAAGGCAATGAGGGACTTCTGTCTCTACAGCCTAAGAGACCTCTTAGCCTTAGAGACCTACCATTGCTTGCAGTCTCCCTCCGTGAAAGACCTGGGCTGTCCATCCCTGAGCTTTATATTTTCCAAACTAATTAGAGCTTTAAAAGAACTAATTAGATCTGAGCTTTAGAGAGGCTGCATTTTAAATTGTTGGCGCAAGGCTCTTGCTGAAATATTTCTGTAATTTTTTACATTTTGTTGTAGCAGGCAAATAGAGTTGCACTCTGAGGGTACTACCTAATACAACAATCTGCATCTTACCTCACCTACCGATAAAAACATTGTCACAGTAGTAAAGCACTTGTTGTGCATACATTACTCACAGTTTCCTCTGACTCTGTTCTCAGTGGAAGCAGAGAACAATTAGACTCATTTTCCCCTAATAACCTCCTTTTATGTCCCTGGAGCATTTCTGAGCATGCTGGCATGACTGGAGCTGGAGCCTTCTCTAGCTGGTATTGGCACACACTGGGGTCTCAGCAGCAGGTGTCTGCGATGGGATGAAACCCAGAATAGCCAGGGAGATAACTGGGCTGTGGGCTGGTTCCCTTGGGGATGGCCAGAAGCTCAAATCACAGTGTGCACGTGGATGTGATGATTAACCTGAGTAGATCACGGCTGGCTTTAACAGTGCCAGGAAGTCTGTCCTGAGGTGTGGGGCTTGGCAAAAGGAGGCTCTAGACAGTAGCTATATGTAGTGGGCAGAGGGGGAAAAATTCCTGTTGAGAAGGGCCTGGCAAGAGCTGGGTAAATTGAAGGACCCAAGTGAGCAGGTGGAGATGCAGAGCAGAGAGCCTTCCCAGCAGGGCAGGGAGCCCAGACAGAAGCCAGCACACAGCTGGACAGCAGTGTGGGTACTCGGTTCCTGGGCTTCACTGGGTACATTTAGCCCTGAGGTCAGGACAGAGGCTCATCACAAGTCTCACCAGCTGACGGGAGCAGAATTACTCCCCACTCAGGATGGGCTCTCACGCTAGGTGGGCCTGGGCTTGCCATAGCCGCCGCTGCCTCAGAAAGCCTGGAAGTACATTTAGTACAGTCAACATGGTCTAGGTTAGGGAAGACTATTTACTCTCCAAAGAGGTAACACAAGTGTAAATAAGTAGAAGGATCTTCTGAGAATAATCAGCCCTCAATGAGGTTTAATTAAAATAGGACTGTTACCGAAATATGGGACTTGCCACAAAAATGACACAACAAAGAGAGACTCACTTATAACCAGGCGCCCTTTGCCAGTCAGACTCTGAGGTCTTGGGAAATCTCCGGAGGTCTCTGGTAGGAGCAAGGCACTTCTAAAATGTGCTTCTAAAGCACATTCCTGCCCCAGAGCAGATCTTAACATTCTCTCTTCTACTAGCCAGGCAAGGTCGGAATTACTGCCCGAGGACTTGTAAGAGGGAACCAGTCAGCACTTCTAGATGGCTCTGCTGGGGCTGCACCTTCCTTCCTGAACAAGAGCTGAATCCCCTGGCATCTGAACTAGCTCTCAGGCCTTCTGGGGTTAAGTTTCTCCTCTTTAGGAGCAGGGCTGGGGGGGGAGCTAAAGTCCTCTGATGTAATTTTCAAATTTATATAATCTGACAGCAAAGCACTTTTTAAATCTCTGTAGTGACAAGATTTAGTTTCCCCCATAACTTCATCCTGTAACAAAGAGCTTTTATGTAAAAGTGTGAACGTTCTCTCTCTCTCTCTTTCTCACTCAAACACACACACACACACACACACCCCCACAGCTATTTAGTGGTAAAAAGGGGGTAGAAAAAAATTCTTCAAATTCTTAGTTGAGTACTTTGCCCAACATGCCATACAACTACATTACCATCCTTAATTCATAATTCTTTAGAATTTCATTATGAAAAAGTAAAAAATGTTCTGAATTTCCCCCAAATCCTCCCCACCTTCTGTCCCACGATGTTTTGTCCTTTCTTCACAAGACGTACACATTTCCAGTTTCTAAACTATGTAAATGAAAAATTATTTCAGCGGGATTTTCTGTATCGTGTATACAAAGTAGAAATTACAATGTTGTTAAAAGAACTCTGAGGATTAAGCTAGGATAGTCCTCTGAATATCACTTAGAGAAACTGATTCACAAACTTCAAATATGCTAAAGAAATATAACACAAGAGAGTATGATAATACAGATCCTATTACAGCAAAAGTTTACATAGGAGTATGACTTGTCTAATTAAATGTGTTATATTTTTGAAGTTTTTTCTGTGTTTTTTTCCCAGTACAGTCACTGTTAGGTTTCTATCCTATTACCGTGAAGAGGACATTCTCAGGCAACTGCCCACACTCAGGATTGAAGGGCTGCCGAAACGTCTGCCTGCTGACTGCTAACTCAATATGCTGTCACAAGATTCACTGCTTTTGTGTGGGCCACAGGCAGAATGAGGACACTGGGAGTAGGAACCGCACTGCATGCAGGCACATTTTAATTGGGGCTGGTTCAGATCCATTCAACATGCACTCACGGAGCTCCTATTCATGTCAGGCACCAGGGAAACAAAGGTGAATATCCCCAGGTCCTCTAAATCGTAGAGAGAGAAAAAAGATACATCAGCAAATAATGTCTATCACATAGTGAATGAAAAGAGAGGTAAGTATTTAGGAAGCACAAAAGGGGGGTGCCTGTTTAATGAAGGTAACTGATGCTTTGTATGGGATCCCTAGGCTTTTAAGAGCCTGACAAAGGAACCGTTTCAGTAGTATTGATTATGACCAATGACTAGACTCAATGTGTTTCAAAATCCAGAAGTCTTGGTAAGTAGGAAAGGAAATTACCATCACCATGCTGAATTTTGGACACAGTTTTCTTCCTTTCTTCCCCCTTCTTCCTTCCCTCCCCTTTCTACTTTTATTTTTATTATTATTTTTGTGCCACGGTTTTAAGGCAGGGGTTCTTGTATTTTATTTTGGCACCAGGTCTCCATGACTGTTAGAGTACATCACAATACTTAATCCCATGATCTATTCATTTACATGGTAATTTTAAACTCTTCTGTTTAAATCACTAAATGGCTAAGATGAACTGACAAGACCAAAGCCCACAGCTCTAAAAAAATATAAACATTACAATAGATACCTGTATTCCCCAATTTAGCTTGCATAATTCAGACTCTGTATGACTAAAGAATCCCTCTTCTGTACTTATTACTTAGCAGGCCACTGGAATAAAATATTATATGTCTGGATTGTTTGCACATGAAGACACTGTACATTTTTCTTATCAATATGGCTGGAAAGAGTATCTGTAAAACCTGTTTTGATCTCTGCTGGCTTTTTAGCCAACAATTGAGAAAACTTTGTCAGTACTGGGAAATGAAATTTACCATTTATTAAAGTGTTCAATTCTAGCAGAAAACTCATACTGACAGGTCTAGATTTTAAAAAAACACTGTCCAAATAACATAACTATTTGTCAAGGAAGGCATTTAAAAGTAACCAAATTCACCTAATAAGCTCCAATGCATAAAGAAACATGGCAGGTATTTTTTATTATTCTGATATAGCCTTAACAGACATTGTGCAAGCTCCGAAAAATGTTCCCACAGTAATCCACATGAATGAGAGTAATCACTCCATTGGAAAAAGAAAAAATTAAGGGACCAAATCTGAAACTACTGTAAATTATTACAATAAAACCCCAAAGTGAACCAGACCAAACAAATACATGAATCTGATGGATGCACAGTGTTTATGAGGCCACTGTGCTGTGCTAGCCTGCTGTCCAGTCTACTATACAGGCAGCAATTTGTTCCCGAACTCAGCGGATAAGTCCACAATATATACAAAATTTAAAAGTATAACAAGGAAATCTAAAGTGACAAACCTCCCATATCTTCATAACATGCATAAGAATCAGAGAAGGTGGAATAGTAACAAAAACATTAGATTCAATTAATAACATTAAGACTGAAATACCTTAAAATTTTTTTTTAATTGAAATATAGTTGGCATATAGTATTATATTAGTTTTGGGTGTACAACATAGTGATTTGACATTTATATATCTTATGATGTGATCACCACATGAAGTCTAGTAACCATCTGTCTGTATGATTCCATTTATATGAAATATCCAGAATAGGCAAATCCATAGAGACAGAAAGCAGATTGGCAGTTGCTATGGGCAGGGGAAGGAGAAAAGAGGAGAGACTGACTGCTTAATGGGTATGGGTTGAAATACCTTGAGGCTAGAAAATCCCAAATGAGAACTTAGAAGTGAGGATGCAAACAGAGTTAAAGAAAATTAGAAATTCTGAGGAAAGTTTAAAAATACATATATAATATATAGGTGGAATGGAGTTACAAATAAAACATTTGAAATAACATGACTTTTATTTCAGCTCTGTCATAATTTGCTAAAAGGAACACAATTTTTGAGGTTTTTATATAAAGAAACATGTAAAATAAAACAAAAATGCCCACGATTATAAATCATTGGTTGTTTTCCAAACTAATTGCTAAGGTGTCATGAAAATAAAAATTCAAAGCCAAGATAGGATAAAAATGTTAGATAGCAAATCAACACTGGTGATGAAAAGATCAAAAACACTCACGGCAGACCCACCTACAACATTTATTATCCATAATTTCCGTGAGTCCTGAAAAATGTGAGGATGACAGACAGGAAGAACTGTCGAGCAGCACTGGCAGTCACTAATATGATGGCCAAAACCACATGCTATTTACAGATAAACAATTCAGTTCCATTTGCTGCTAGTTGATCTGACCTAATATAAACCTTGGAATATTTTGAAAATTCAGTGTTTTACATTGAACCATCAAGTTTATGATGGCTGAGAAGTCTTAGATTTAGAGATGTGCACTCTTTTACGCTTTGTCTTTAATCTTAAGTGAATGTAACTGGCAACTAAACATAAACCTAAGTGGTATAATATTATATAAGACTGTGCTATGCCTATTAGGAAAAAAATCTAGGAGCATTCAAATACTTTTTATTGCTGGTCAAAGGCTTTTACTTTTTTACTGCCGATTTTTTTTTCTTTTTAAAGGGGCTCAGAACATCCTTTACCTGTAAATGAACAACTCTCCGAAATACATCTTCTCTCATGCTCATCTCAATATCAAAACGAGAAAGTCTCTTGTCCGCTTCTGTGCTTGCCGCCCGTACTTCTTTGTCAGAGGAGACGTGCTGGGGAAAGTCCAGCATGGTTCGTTCCACTGTTAAAAGAGGAGAAAGCTGTAAGGCCTCCCCAAGTCAGTATTAAGAACAGTACCTCCTGGAATCTAGATGAATGACTATCCTGACAAAAATTTTCCATGTTACTTTCTGTAAAGGTTCTGAAGGCTATCAAAAAAGAGCATCTAATGCAGGGCTTGGCTGTCCCAGTGACATTATTGCGAGCAGTAAGGGTGTGTGCTGAGCACTTATTAAAATATGCTTTGGGTATAATTTACTAACTGGGAATATAGAAAGATAAAGACATAGTTCTTATACTGAGGGATTTTATAATCTGGGAGTGGGGCTGGGGAACAGCATATAAAAAGATAAAGAACAATACAGGACAGAGCAGGTTAGCTGTCAAACGAATGGGACAGTAACTCAAAGGCAGTGACGCCGAGGGCCGGGCCCTGTGCAGCGCTTCATGGAGAAGGCTGGACCTTAGAGGATGGTGGGCAAAGGAAGAGCGCAGGAGAGGACTGGAGAAGTAGAGAGTGCAGGCCTGGGGAGGGCGGACGCTGAGGACTCTGAAAAACAAGAACACGAATTTAGTGGGATGGCTTTTATTTAGAAGTTCTTAACCTGCACTACAGACTTCTTAAAGAACCTAACTGAAGTTACGGACCCTCCCCCAATACAAACATTCATACAAAGAGTTCCATACAATTTCAGAAGAGCCCCAGGAAACTCAGCAGACACAGGCAGTAAAGAGCTGAATATTGGGGCCATTCCTGTTCAATGATGTAGCGTGCTAATGTAATCTACTCTAATTTTCACATACTAAAGTTGGTTCTTCGGTCTTTCACATATTTGTGTTTTGATTTTAATTGGGCAAAAATCTGATGTCAGTGAAATAACTAATATTATAGAAACAAATGAGTGTGGCTTATAGTGATGGTTGTGGTTATGCTGTGACAATGAATACATTTTTATTTTATCACCAGTACTTTAAAGGTATTGTAAATAGGTAAAATTTACACGTGCTATATGATAAACAGTATAGATACCCTTTACATATCCAGAAACCGTACAGTTAAAGAAGCTACCTCACTTTTATCAGTCCTCTTAAAACATTGCTACAAATAAAGGTGTGGGAAAATTGCCACAAATATCTGAAAAAATTCATAAGGTGTTTTAAAAATCAAATTAGATAATTATTCTTTTAGTATACAATTTGATTTAGTATACAATTTTATGTCCTTTAAATAAGAATGAAGCAGATTTAAATTTTAATACCTACAGCACTTGTTTAAGTGATATAATTAACAAATAGTTACCATTTGTGTTTACTTTTTAAAATGAGCTCAAAAAGATTATTAAGAAAGACAAAACTGCTCAGGAACTTAAATGAGCAGCATGAAATACAGGAACCTAAAATTGGGAACATGTTCTTAAACAAACAACAATACTGGAAACCATTTCCTTCCTTACTCTGCCACAAGGACCTGGAACCAGACTTCTACTCTAGCTGCCAAACTGTAAACAATGCTGATGTCTAGTACCTGACACTAGCTGAGTGGGGTTTTAACAGTTCTTGCTGGAGGCAGAATGAGCTCTGAGAACATGCACAGATAAGAGAAAGTCTTTAAAAATCTATTCTTTGGATGATTAATTAACCCACAAAGATAAATTTATGGGAAAGTAAGAACAAGCACCACAAAACTAAAAGTTATTTAAAAGATGTATTATTGGAGAAAAAGATACGTCTTTAAAAAAATTTGTTTTTTCCCCCATGATTTTTTTATTCGTTAAATGTATAAGTTACCAGGCTGGCACACTATCTTGGCCACAAGTGACCAAAGAAATGAGTATCTGAACCTACGATAAACTGTATATAGGGTGGGAGATGCCTATGAAATTGCCTACTGGAACAGTTCTGCTGAATGGGGACCAACCCCATCCCTTTTGTCTTTGACTAATGAGTCCAATCATATCCTTCTTATTAGGAGTTTAAATTCAGGACCTGTAGCAAGAGTTAGTGGCCACTGATGAGAGTGGCGCAGTTGGTAGTTGAGGCAGAAACTGAAACAGAAGAGCAGAGTTCAGAGAGAGTAGCCAAGCCCCCTGTGGTGGGACGCAGGATATGGAACTCTTGGTGTTGAGGAGTTGCAGAGGGTAAAGCAATGACCGGGTTGCTAGGGCTGTGGAGGATTCTGTACAGCCTTCCAAATTCCAGAAGACATACTAATGTTTATGATATCTAGTTCGACAGATACATGTAGTACTATGGTTTTGCTGGCTTTTTTGGTTAATCCTCACCTGAGGATATCTTTTCTACTTTTAGAGATATCTATTTTTAGAGAGAGTGGAAGGGAGGGAGGAGGGGGTTACAAAGAGAGAAACATCGATGTGTGAGAGACACACTGACTGGTTGCCTCCTGCATGCACCCCAACTGGAGCCAGGGATAGAACCTGCAACCGGGGTACGTGCTGTTGGCTGGGAATTGAACCAGAATTTGGTTTGCTCATGCTCTAACCATTGGGAAAACTGGCCAGGTTGTAGTGCTATGTTGTTATGAAGCCTGGATACACAGTCAAGGCTCTTCAGTCATAATTATCCTACAAAATATATGCAACCTATAGAGGTAAGTGCTGTGAATCTTCATTTCTTATAACTCAAAGAGTCTAATACTCATGTAATAAAAATAATGTATTTTAAGTGTAGGAAAATAGAGAAAAGCATAAAGGAAAAAGTAAAAATCAACTGTCAACCCACCATCCCAGATATTAACCATTATTAAAATTTGTGTTATTAAATGATTAAAATTTTCTCTGGCTTCCTTCTATGTCCTTTTTTTTAGGTCATTAAATACTTCTTCTAAATATGATTTTAATGGTTCCACAATGTTACAGAGGGAGAATGTATCATAATTTATTTAGTCATTCTATTAGTTGACACTTCGGGGTTGTTTCCAAGCTTTTGCTTATGAGGGAACCTATTTATATAAAAATTTGCGCATGATTTTTCTGTATCTGATTACTTCCTTAGATTAAATGCAAAGACATGGAATTACTAGGCCAGGGTTTAAACTTCTTAAAAGTTTTCATATATACATACTGTCAATGCTCTCCAGAAAGCCCCTGTAATGAGTGTACATTTTATAGCACCTTTGATAATGTGATAAAAATTTTAATCTTAGGGAATTTAATTCCAAGCCATTAATTACTCATTATGTAAAAATCAATGTCTTGTAAAACTGGAAAATGGATTGCCAAGGCAGAAAACGCAGAATGCTTTTATGATGCCCACAAAACGAAACACTGATGTGTTTCTGCATCCTACTCACCTATGTACTTCACCTCTACGTCTGCCAGTGCCTGCAAACAGTTCTCGTAAGTTACTTCCTCAAGGTCAAGCATTCCAATAGCATCGTACACTTGCTTGGTCTGCACAATGAGCTCCTCAGTTCTCGTTTTAATTTGCTCTGGTGAAAGATCCCATCTTAAAACATTCCTGCCAGCTGCAGTATAGGAAGATATGGCCTGAAGTGGAGACATCCCTCCTCTCCCTAAAGTCATTCGGAATAAAATCCTGCAACCACCAATTCTAAAAAGAACCAGAAAGAGAATAAACGTTAGGCATTTCTGTTGGTCTAAAGTCAATATACAGAGAGGTATCATCTAATTAAATTTAAATTAAAAAGAACTTTTTAACAAAACTGAGCAAATCTGTTTCAGGTAAACACGTATGAACACAACTCAATGCTTCTGGATAGGTGTCAATGCAGGAAATGGACTCCTGGGAGGCTACAGGATCTCTTGACAGGTCCTGCTAACCATTTCTGGGCAATAATATTGGTGTTATTTGAGGTGGCAGACAGGATGCCTGCCTTCTGATGTGTTTGGGTGAGTTGCTGAGCAATCCAAGGAGAGGTTGGATGATTAAGCAAAAAAACAAAGGGTTCCTGGTTAAACTGAAGAGTTCATTTGGGAACCAAAAATCTTAACAAATCTCTTAGACCTTGGGCCACATGTTTTCCCTGAAAAGTATGCATTTTTTCCAGCAAAATGTTGTTGAGGGTTATGTTTCTGAGGAATGAACTGAGATGGGTATGTGGAACTTATTTAATGGCACACTGAAATAGAGATCTGAAGACCTGCAGGGGATTTAAAACCAATTCTTTACACACACACACACACACACACACGTGTGTGTATATATGTATTTAGAGAGAGGAATGGAGAGAGAAACAACAATGTGAGAGAGATGCATTGATTAGCTGCCTCCCACACCCTTCCAGACTGGGGGATTGAACCTGCAACCTGGGTTATGTTCCCTGACTGGGAATCAAACTGGCAACCATTTGGTGCACAGGACGACACTCAACCAAATGAGCCACACCAGCCAGGACTAAAACCAACTCTTGTTAGAGCTTTATAAAAAATTGAGAAATTATTAAAATGCACATGAATCAAGTTTTAATACACTGTATGATGGGTGGGTAGGCTGCCCATTGTACCATTTCTTTCTTTGAGTTCTCAGGCATGGTTTGGCAGTGCAAGAGCTCTGTAACATTAACAAATTTAATAGAAAGTAAATATATGAAAAAAAAAACCCTCAATGCTCTTGTATTTTTCTGGAATAGTTATAGATTTAATAAAATTTGTATTTTCCAAACATTAAATTGTTGATGTAATTAAATCATAGAAAAATAAAGTTAGATGTCAAAGATATAATAATTGTCCTTTATAAATTAAATCAGTAATTTTTATTTTTTAAATTTTTTTATGTGCTAATATCCACCTACTATGTATGCAGACTCAAAATGTTTGGGATTCATCAAGGAAACATTAAAAAGTTGTGTTTTTTTTATGTTGAACACCAATTAAAA